TTTATCAAATTCGGAGCTATGATTAATTAGTTATGAAATAAAGCATTTTAGCATGGCATTTGAGCAAATTTAATCACATCATTTTAAACATTTTAAACATGGATGAAAGTGGCATATTGTGAAAGTACATGAAAAACTGAGCATCTTACATATATAGTTTATTTAATTCTGATGCATGGTTAGTGAATTATTGATGCATGAATATAAAGGTTTTTTTTTTTGAAAAACTGCAGTCTCTCGATAATTAGCAAATTTGCAGAATAGGGAAAAAACATGACACGGGCCAAATCCACTGGAACTGGGCCGGACTAGTGAGCGCTGGATCTGGGACTGCTCACCAAGTGGCCTTGGGTCGTTCGGTGTAGAGGTGGGAGCTGCAAACGGCGAGGCGAGGTGGGCCTAGGCGAGGCCGGCCCAGTCGAAGTCAACGCGCCTGGTTCCTTCGATGCAGGGAAGCAGGGGATCGAGCTCGTGCTCATCAGAAGGCAGCGACGACGCAGGGGCGCGTGGGACTCTGGAGAGCGGCTGGATGGCACGACTCCGGTGTGGCGTCCCTACGGGGCCGGAGGACCTGGCATGGAGGACTCGGATCGGGACATGGGCAACGGTTGAAGGCGGCGAAGACCAAGAAGCTCTGACGGTGCTGCTGCCCAGAGAAAACAGAGGGAGTTTCAGAGAGAGAAGCGAACCGGGGAAGGGAACGGGGAGGTCACGAGGGGGCCTTGCTGAACGGCGACAACTCACCGGCGGCGAGGTAGGCGGGAACGGGTCGGGGAGCTCGAGGACGACGATGTCCGGGCGCGGGAGGCGAGGATGGCCGGCGCAGACTCCTCGGGGGCTCCTTGTTGCATGAACAGAGAGAGCAGGTGAGAGAGGGAGGAGAGAAGGAAGAGGAAGGGAGAGGCAGGGGCGCGGGGTCCTGCTGAAGGTGGTCGCCGGCGATGTTCACTGGAGGCGGCGGGGTCGCGAGGGTGAGGCTGAGGCGCCGGGAACTTTCCGGGGCGGAGGGACTCGTTCCCGGCGGCGACGGAGCTGCGGGCAACCAAGGCGCTGCTGCTGGAGATCGAGCTCGCTCGATCTGGAAGCCGTGGGGAGGAGCTGCGGGAATGGGTGGATCGAGGGAGAGGAGATGGTTGGCCCGATGGGGAAAACGAGGAAGGAGGAAGTGGCTTCGGTTGGTGGAATTGGATCGGGATGAGATCCCGAGGAAGAAAGTGGCGGCGGCCGAGACGGGATGGATGGGACATCTCCCTAGATTTTAGGGTTTTGTCTGGTTATATAGCAGGTAGGTTAGTTTGGGGCGATCTAGTCCCTCCGATCGAAATCAGACAGACCGAGAAAAATAGGCTAGAAGAGCCCAACAAATAACCAAAGATATTTTATAGATGTTTGGGGATGATCTGAAAGCAACGATGATGACTGAGCGGGTTGGGTTCGTGGAAGTTTCGGACACGAGCGAGGGGTCGATGCACTATACAAAGAGACTCCCATTTAGGCAAGAGGGAAAACGAAGAACAAGGTTGGTCTCGGAACGGTCAACGAAAGCAAGGGGGGACGCTGCAACTACGAGCGGATGCAAACTTTGTGAAAACATGCAGATGCAATGCGCATGATGCTATGAGATGAGATGCATGACATGAACAAAATGCAAAACAAAAGACAAAACTCAACCACGAAGGAAATATCATATCGCATAGCCGGAAATGGCAAGAGTTGGAGTTACAAATATGAAAAGTTGTATCCGGGATGTTACAAAAACACAGAGTAAGAGTACCTCGATGTGTAGCAAGCACACAAGCATAAAACCACACAAGCTGAAATGGGCAGCCCACTTCGAAATCCGCATGTACTAGCAATTCTTTTATGGAATGATTCCATTAAAATTATTTTTGAAATTTTAAATAAAGTCCATTTATAGAAGATATTTTGGATTTTAGAAAATGTTCATGAATTCAAAAATATTACAAACTTAAAAAAATGTTCCTGAATTTTAAAAACCATGCATTTTGAATTAAAAAAATTCACATGAATTTTGAAAAAAGTTCTTGGATTTCAAAAAGTGTTGGCTTGAGAAATGTTCGAGGATTTCAAAATGTCGATTAATTTGAAAAATGTTACCATGATATAAGTAAGTAAGTAGACGTTAACACTCTGTATGAAAGTATCAACAACACAATAATGATGTGATTTCGTAGTAATTCATAAGTCGAGTCTATTCGACACCATTGTTTCAATAACAATGTGTTTTCATCATCCTTGTTAGTTTAACAATGCCCATGATCATGAAAATAAGACCATCATTAATACATGAGCTAGTTCTTGAGGCATGACTAGGGATTCATTTGGTGTTTATATTTCCACATGTGCAATTGAGGTTTTCTCTGAATGTCATATTAAAGAATTGACGCAATTATAACACAACAATAAACTTGATTATGAACATGAAAAATAAAATAAAAATACATTTACTATTTCCTCTATGATATATTTCCAACATACCTCATTGAGCTTTTGGTCGACAATCCACGCTTCATTTCGTTGACCTATGTCTTTTCCTTTCCACTGTCCCCTTGCCAAAAGATTTTGGATATGTAATGTCCCAGCCTTTGCATGGCTCCTTTTGGAAGTTTGAAAACGGAGAGCATATATAGAATCATTTTTATGAGAAGAAAATTGAAAATATAGATCATCATCCAACGGAGAGCTATTTGCCCTTCCAATTGCTCAAACGCTTCTCTAGACGTGTTATTCATATATTTCCACTCCGCATTAGTGAGGCGTCGAAATAAACCGAAATTGTCAAGTATCTAATCATGAATTGGCCTTGGACACAACCAAATATATTGGCGTATTGTGCGCCCGCCTCACTGACTTATTTGAAACACGGAAATACTATGATGTTATCCCATGCTAATGTATTTAAAGCGATGGCTTGCTTTGAGCACTCTACTTTCTTCAGAGTAATATGCCCAGAACACGACCAGGCCAATTAAGGCTAGGAGCATGATGCCGGCCGAAGGGTCGAGTAGGTCGGTGATCGCCGTGGGGCGGACCGGCCGACCCAACCCAAGGTCCTACTATGAGCTTTTTAACTACAACAACTTAAATATACGCTATTGGAGTTGGAATTACCGTGGCTGCAAGGCACAAGACTTGCGCTCCAATGGATCCTTGCTAAGAGATTTAGATTGTACTCATTTCAATTACGAGATAGTAAGGCGCCTGGTATTATTATTTATTGTCACTGCCTCCCCGTATTAGGATTGGGTAATTCGCAGTGTCTAAGACCAAATGAGTGCACAATCTACATTCAAATTGTAACTTCTATTTTTCTTCACTGAATGTCACAAACACAAGAGGCTGTTCAGTGCATATACATAGACACATATTTGCTAATCTGTTTGAATCAACTTTCATCTGAATTGTCCATCAAGAATTATAAAGTTACAAGAATTAATTAAATGTTTCATCTGATAGATGATATTATTTTTAGGACAACGCTAACGCCTACACGTGTGGTGTGAGTCAAACCCGCCCACACACCCTATAACACATAGATTGCGTCATGTCACCGCATGCATGCATGTGATTTTTTTTTTGGATTTTTAGTTTTTAAAATATTTTATCTTGTAAATGAAAAATCCGATTGAAGATCCGTTTTCACCATTAAATCCCTTGTGACGAGATTTTCGAAACAAGATCTCATATCAATATATTTCAATGAATTTTTTTTTTGGGGTTAAAAGTTGCCATGTCTATTGCAAATGAATTGCCATGATGTTTACACTGAAGTTGCCATGATATGTTTCAGCTATTTTCTTCTGCATTTAAAAGTAAATTTTGACATATTATAAGACGAGGAATTAAGAAACTAGACTTGTCATGAACCATAAACTAAAATTGCCATGATAAATGCACTTAAAATTGCCATGGTTCATACAAAAACTAATTTTTATGGTCAAAGTACTGGAATTGCCATCATCAAAAAACTAAAATTGACATGCTCTACAAACTAAAATCGCCACATGGCAACTTTAGTTTAAGCACTATGACAACTATAGTGTAAACATCGTGGCAACTTTTAGGCAATTTATTTTTGTCGAAACATATCAACATGGGGTCTAGTTTTGAAGATCTCGTCGAGACGGATTTAATGATGAAAACAGATTCTTAATTTGAATTTTTAATTAGGAGATAAAACATTTTTAAGCGAAAAGCCAAAAAAAAAAATCCTGCTGATGTCATCTGTTTATACGTGGCAAAATGAGTGGTGATGAAGGCGTGTGGGCGATGTGCAAGATGCCACACATATGAGTGTTAGTTTTTTCGTATTTTTAAACATATTTGGTGCCTTATTGTTATTACTTATTAAACTAGCAAACATGCATGTGTGTTGCAAGGAAAGAAAACAAAACATGTCCTAACCCAATGAACATGGTTAAAGACCTCTATCCCTCGCCCTAGTGTCCGTGATGCTAGTTGTCACAAACCAAGGTTGCCAGGTCCATGAACTGGGTCGTTGAGCATCTCTCGTGTCTGGCCATATCTTTTTTTTTGCGGGAATCGTGTCTGGCAATATCAAGAGTGTTGGGCAAAGATGTTTCATCATTTGGCTAATACAATAGGGGAAAACACTGTACAATATATCTATTAGGCAAAATCAATAAGTCCGGGTCGGACACATTTTTTTATTTTGAAAATTTTAGGCATCCAAGATGCTCAGTGCGTGCAAAATCAGATTTGTAAAATAGTTTTACTATTTTTTATTTACTTTTCACATACTGTAGACGAGTGTGGGCACCATTTTTAATTATCGGACCAATGTGAAGTACTTCCGCTAACACATTAAGACAATACAAAGCTCCAAACAAACATCGACCACAATTATGAGTTTCTGACTAAGCCTGTACGACTAGCCAGCAGATGATTCCAAACCCTCCTAATACACATGCTCACCAACCACTAGCAACGATTATATTTACTCACCATTGGCATGGGTCTCACTGACCTCCTGAACCATCTTTGCAAGGTTTTCAAACGAGGAGCCACCTATATCCATGGTCTTTCTAGAAGACAGGGAGAGCTCACCAGCTCTAGCAGCGGCGCGTTTCCCTTCCTCTCCCAAGATCAGTTCCCTTGCCAACACCTGCACGTCTCCACTCATAACCAACCCACTACCTCCCTTGTTGGCGTCTTCCTTCGGCCGAACTCGGAGCCCCACATGGATCACGTCCACGACGAATTTGGCATTGAGCTTCTGCTCGGCCGCCATTGGGAACGACAGCATTGGCACACCCATGACGATGCTCTCCAGCACCGAGTTCCATCCGCAGTGTGTGAAAAATCCTCTCACTGATTTGTGACTCAGAACTCCGAGCTGGTTGATGAAACCTTCCACCACCTTGCCCCTGTCTCCGAACCAGTCATTGAACCGGTCATCTGGATTGAGCCATTTGGACCGGACCACCCATAAGAAGTCTACACCGGAGTTGTCCAACCCGACGGCGATCTCTTCCAGCTGCGCCCGGCTCAGCTCGGCCTGCGATCCGAACGCGACATAGAGGACCGGCCGGTCCATGGCGAGCCTCGAGTCGAGCCACTCTGAGATCTCACGGTCGTCCTTGGTCTGGACCGCCGGTTCGGAGGCCGCGAGAGAGAGCGGTCCGATCGGCCACATCTTGATGTCGAACTCCCGGTTCCACAGGTCGATGTAGATCGACTCCAGCTCGTGGAAGGAGTTGACGATGATGCCCCGGCTGGAGTACATGCTGATGCGGTTCTTGCAAATGAAGTCCCAGTGCGGGCCGGAAGGCTCCGGGTCGTCGAACGGCGGGTTGAGGTCGGCCTTCGTGAGGCGGAGGTCCGGCACACCGTGGACCGGGAACGGCTCGGATGGCGAGCTCACGCGTGCGTGCGGCCTGTGTGCCGTCACTGCCCGATTGACGTACGTGGCGAAGCCGCCGAAGCCGAGGGTGACAAGCCGCGGCATGCCGAGCTCGTCGGCGATGTCCTTGGCCCACCGGAGGAAGCCGTCGTGGACGAGCAGGTCCGGCCTGGGCTCGATCTTGGCGAGCGCGTCCGCGAACGCCGGCTGGAGCGCCGCCACCGCGGTGACGAAGTCGACAAGACTGGTCGACGATGGGAGCTCGTCCGTGCTCTGCGGGGCGTCCTGCTCGGAGGGGAATGGAAGCTCGACGACCGCGGCGCCGCCGCCGGCACCAGCGAGGCCCGCGCGGATGAAGGGCGCGTTGCGCGGGGTGGTGAAGAAGGTGACGGCCGAGGCAAGGCGGCGGCCAAGAAGGAGGCGCGCGAGGTGGATGAGCGGCATGGCGTGGCCCTTTGCCATGAAGGGGAGCATGGCCACGTGACGGAGCGTCGGTGAAGCAGCCATGGATAGTGAAGCTATTGGTGAGGCTAGCTGTGGGCGGGTGTGTGTCTGTCTCTGTTATAGGGCAGCTGTTGACTGTTTTCCGTCCGTGCTGTTGCCTGTTCACGGAACAGTTTTATAAGAGCATCTCCAACAGCCGCGTTTCACGCCGCGCGTAAAAAACCTGTTTATCACGCGCTTCGGCTGATTTAGTGCGGCCACCAGCGCTGGCTCCAACAACCGCGCTATAATGCAGCGCGCGCGTCACTCCAGCAACGCGCAAAAATACAGCGCGCGCAGCACGCACAAACCACATATACATTTCAAAAACAGGAGCAAAAATGATCAAACAAATAAAATAAATCAATAATAAATAGTTCAATTTCGTTATCATTACAACTCAAACAAATAGTTGCGGGCATACATACGACGAACAATAAATAGTTCAATACGACATTCAATTTCGTTATCATTACTGTTGAGTATATCTAAGTACAGAGGTGGGCCACAACCTCAACTATACAGAGAAAACAGGAGGTGGGCCCTGCCCCGGGCATTCTCGGCGCCCGGCCACTGTCACACCAGGCGTTCTACGCCGTGCCGCAGCCGCATGCGGCGCCCTACGCGGCACCCTACGGCCAGCAGCCGCAGCCAGGTGGGCCACCGCTGCTGCCCCTGACGGCCGCGCCGCAGGCTCTCCCGCCGGCGCCGTGGGACCCGGCCCTTCTTGCGGCTCTTCACACAGCTCCTTCCGCGTCCAGCTACACCGGCGGCGGCGACTGATACATGGACACCAGAGCCACCGTTCACATGATGGCTTATCCCGGTAACCTCCACACCTTCTATCCTGTCCATACTTCCAACCGCATCACCGTCGGTGACGGATCCTCTCTTCCTATCACCCATATAGGTCATGCATATTTTTCGTCTAACTCCACTCCAATATCCATGTCTAATGTCTTAGTTTCTCCTGAACTTATTAAAAATCTTGTTTCTGTTCGTTCTCTTACACGTGAAAATCCTGTTACCGTTGAATTTGACGAATGTGGTTTTTCTGTTAAGGACGCTCGCACGCGGATGGTGCTCCACCGATGTGACAGCCGCGACGAGCTCTACCCGGTTCACTCCGCCACCTCCACCACTTCCGCCGCCCCTGTCGCTCTCGCCACCGGAGTGGATCTTTGGCACGCTCGCTTGGGTCATCCTAATCCTGCCACCCTTCGCCATATACTTAGGAGTTTTTCTTTCACGTGTAATAAGAACGAGGATCACTCGTGTCATGCATGTCGCCTCGGCAAACATGCTCGTCTCCCGTTTAGGGCTTCTTCTCATGTTGCATCGTACCAGTTTGAGTTAATTCATAGTGATGTTTGGACCTCTCCTGTTGCCAGTAATACGGGCTTTCTTTATTATCTTGTCATACTTGATGATTTCTCGCATTATGTGTGGACCTTCCCGTTGCGCCGCAAGTCGGATGTTATATCCACTCTCGCCGCCTTCTACTCCTATGTTCTCACGCAGTTTGGTCGTCCCATTCTCGCGTTGCAGACAGACAACGGGAAGGAGTTCGACAACCTCGCTGTTCGTACTCTCCTCACCACACATGGCACGACTTTTCGTCTCACTTGCCCGTACACCTCGCAGCAGAACGGTCGCGCTGAGCGTATCCTTCGCACTCTCAATGACTGCGTTCGGACTCTTCTCTTTCATGCCAATGTGCCTCCGCGCTTTTGGCCTGACGCTCTCGCCACCGCTTCCCTCCTTATCAACATCCGTCCATGTCGCACTCGCGGGAACTTTGCACCTCATCACCTTCTCTTCGGTTCAGCACCCTCTTATGATGAGCTTTGCATCTTCGGCTGCCTTTGCTACCCTAGCATCGCCGCTACTGCGCCTCATAAGCTTGCACCCCGCTCCGTCGCCTGCATCTTTCTCAGCTACCCACCTAACACTAAGGGCTACCGCTGCTATGATCCCGTCTCCCATCGAGTTTTCACCTCCCGACACGTTTACTTTGATGAGATGGTGTTTCCCCTTCAGTAGCAGGTACCCCTCGTCGCCTCGTCACCGCTGGCTGTAAGTGCATCTAGTGCCACCCCTAGTTGGTTTTGGAGTATTGACGATAAAGTTGGTTGAGGGACTAATGCACTTGTGAGAATTGCAGGATAACGCAGGTAGTGTCCCTCATTGATTCGGTTTACCTACCGGAGATGACCCCTAAAAATGTATGAAGACATTGAAGACAATGGTGGTATGTGAAGATATTCACATTGAAGACTATGACATGAGAAGACATTGAGCGAAGACTATGGAGCGCGAAGACTGTGTTGTTTCGTTGTTTCCTTTTCTTCTTTGTTGAGTCATAGGAACCACTGTACTGTTAAGTGGGGTCCAAATGAACAAAGTCAGAGTGACTGAAGTGATGCTCAACCCAAATCCTATGTCTTCGAGCGAAGACAATGAGTGAAAATCTTATCCAGAGCTGGATGAGTCAGCTTTGCTTGTAGCCCAAGTAAAGTTGCCGTGTATGTTTGAAATCTAACCGTTGGAACACGTGTCAATTCCTTAGTGACCCATGGTCATTTCGGACATATCAGGTCGGGTTGCCTTGTGGCTATAAATAGCCCACCCCCTACACCATAAATTGGTGGTTGCTCAGAGTTAGTATACGGCTTTTGTCATTTTGAGAGCAACCCACCTCGAAGCCTTTGAGAGAGAAATCCTTGCGAGGACAAAGCCCAAACACCCAGAGCCAAAGAGTGTTAGGCATCACTGAAGTCTTTCTGTCTGTGTGACCTGAAGACTTATTACACTTGAGGACTGTGTATCCTCCAGCCGGTTAGGCGTCGCGTTCTGAGCATCCAAGAGTCATTGTGGATTGCCGGTGAACGAAGTCTGTGAAGGTTCGGAAGTCTACCTTGAAGACTTACCAGAGTGATTGGGCGAGGACTGTGTGTCCTTAGCTCAAGGGGAATAAGGTGAAGACGCGGTCTTCTGAGTTGAATCTCAGCCTCCCTAACCAGACGTACAGTTGTCACAGCAACTGGAACTGGTCCAACAAATCCTGTGTCTTCAACAAGTGACTGGTTCTATCCCTTCCCTCCTTTACTTTGAGTTTGTCTTCGTGAAGTCATTGCTTATCTGTCTTATCTGTTTGACTTCATTGCTTGACTACTATCGTTGATTGGCTTCATACTATCTTCCATCCTGATCCTTACTACTTAGCTGCTATTAGTCTTTGTACGTTCACATTATTGCATACTTGACTATGGCTTGCTTGTTGTAGTTTATCTTCCGCTGCATATCAATTAGGTCATTTCTATTGTTTGTATTTGAAACTTCCACGTTTTGAAGACTTTGATAAAAATTGCCTATTCACCCCCCTCTAGTCGATATCTAGCACTTTCAATTGGTATCAGAGCAATGTACTCCCTTGTTCTGTGTGATTCGGTTTAACCACCTGGAGTTTAGCTATGTCGACTGCAGGGATAATCAAAGTCTCTGCTGCTTGTCCCGTGTTCGATGGAACTGAATATCCCTACTGGAAGAATAAGATGCACATGCATCTTGAAGCCATTGATGTCGACCTCTGGTATGTCGTCAAGAACGGCGTTCCCAAAACTGGTGAAGGTGCCACCCCTACTGATGTCAAGAAGTTCATTCAACTGGACTCCACTGCAAAGAACATCATCTGTGGTCATCTGACAAAAGGACAGTATGGCCGTGTGAGTGCTCTGGAAACGTCAAAGCTAGTCTGGGACTGGCTATCCAAGGTCAACGAAGGCGTCTCTACACAGAGAGACCAGAGGATCAATGTTCTTCGCAATCTCTTCAACCGCTTCAAGAGAAACGACAATGAAAATGTCCAGCTCACGTTTGATCACCTCACCGACATCACAAATGAGCTTCAGGCTCTTGGCGCCACTGAGATTACCAATCATGAAATCGTCAAGACACTACTGAGATCACTTGACAGCTCCTTTGACACCCTTGCCCTCATGATACAAGAGCGCCCTGACTTCAAGACACTCGATCCGTCTGATATACTTGAGAGGCTCAACACACATGAGTTCCAGCTTTCTGAGAAAAGAGATATCTATGGTCCCAATTATGGCCGAACTCGCGCTTTGAAGGCAAAAGTGATTTCCTCATCTGAAGAAGAATCTGACTGCGGTTCTGATGATCCTGAAGACATTGGAAAGGAACTTGCCATTCTTGTGAAGAAGTTCAAGAAGTTCACCAAGAAGAAGGGCTTTAGAAAGTCTTCACGATCTAGCTCAAGAAATCATGAAGCTTCCACTCATGACAACAAGAAGAGAACATGTCACAAGTGCAAGAAACCTGGACACTATATCTCTGAGTGTCCTCAGTGGGACAATGAGAAGAAGAAGAAGAAGAGCAAGGAATATGATTCTGATGACAAGAAGAAATCTTCAAAGTCTTCTTCTAAGTCCTCATCAAGGTCTTCATCACATAAGAAGAGCTCATCTGGCAAGGCTCGTGCTTTTGTTGGCAAGGAAATGGATTCAGAGGAGAAGTCTGCTTCTGAGGAGGTGGAGGTGGAGTCTGAAGAAGAGTCCGACCCTGGCGTTGCAAGTCTGGCTCTAGCCACTGCCTATGTTGCCAAGTCCATCTTCAACACTGAAGACAATGACTTCCACACCAACGCTGAAGCTGATGACATGGACGATCCTGCTCCCACCTACTGCTTCATGGCACGTGGTGCCAAGGTAAAATCACGCGATGCTTACTTTCAAACATCAAGTGAAGATGACTCTGATTGTGAATCCAAACCCAGCTACAAAACACTTGCTAAAATTGCTACTGAACAACAAAGGGCTATGGAACATACTCAAAAACTATTAGACAAAAGCGATGACCTGTTGGACGTGGAAATGACACGTTCACAGTCCTTAGTTGAAGACATAAAAAATCTTCATGCTAAGTACCAAGAACTTGAAAGTCTTCATGAGACGCTCTCAACCACTTATGAAAAGCTCTCCTATGATTATCTTCAAAGGAAG